ATCGCCACCTGGGAATTCATGTCCCACTTCAATTGTAGATGGTGCTACGTTGATCGTGAATATAAGATCAAGAATATCATCGGACCTAGCGGGTACATGCACATTATAATCGCTTATTCAAGCAGACAACACAGTCTTCCGATTGATTGTTTCTTGCTCAAGATTATTCTGAAACTGCTTGTGGCTGGTTTCTCAGAAAGTTAAGCCACATATATGCGAATCTTATTTGCCCACGTTACGTCTGCTGTGATTGGTTGTTGAATCAGTCTTATTCATCTTTTGTCACGGCCAATATTAGCGACATAGCGTAAATTAATGCCTACCAGTTGGCTAGCAGCCTGCTCTCACCACATCATGAGGTGCTGCTGTGGTTACGTTGCATTCTGCAAGAGTCATTCTATCAAGTGCTGATCGTGTTGCAAGGTGTAAAGAAGATGCCTTTGACTGAAAGGTATAGGCCGTCATCGATGTGTGTGATTGTGCTGTGGGCATGCCTGTGGTGTATTGGCTTTGCTGTTTGTTTTCCATTTCAGCTTTTTCCCCGTTATCTAGGTTCTCGCAATGGCATCCAAGTCAACGTGTATTGGTAGTAATGGAAAAAAGGGATGTATCCGTTTTTTCCTGGGGAGTATCAATGTAGCTGAAGATTGAACGATCAATTCATGGTTGTTTGCTCAAACCCAACCCGTCCATATTTTTCGCGGAGTCATCAATCCAACAGTCATCGTCTCATCGTTCGCTGTTCAATGGAAGTTCGAAAAATATCAGAAACCTTGTTATAATAACCTTATTGTTGGTTACACGTTGGCGTAAGAATAAAGGATTCTTGAATCGCCAATCTATGTTCTGGTTTTCGCGTTGATGAATACAAAGTGTTTCTGAAAGTCTTCCAGGGACAGCGTGAGGTCCAGCGTAATAAGAGCTGGACATTGACACTTTATGAGAGTTGGCTAACAGGCAATTTTGTTACTGAATTTCCGTTATCTATGCATTGTGTAATGTAGTCAAAATAATCTAAGTGGCAAGTAATGCACTACCTTCTGCTTAAGAAACCGTATTGGGATGAGGATAGTAGGTCATTTGAGAGAAAGTACTGAATGATTTGAGTCTTTGCCATCTTTCCCATTACACGTAAATCTACAGACCTGTTGTTGATGTTCATATCGGCTTTAGGCACGTATTTATGGATAAGTATAATATAAGACTTCTTCCAGCAGGTAGAGTATGTCCCATCGCTTGAGGATGGTAGGCTGTTGTTCGAAAACGGATGCAACCTATGATTTAAGCCGTGGCGAAGAACAAGTCGCTTTCGAATTGCCGCCCGCGATCAGTTGTTATGGAGGATGGGCGTCCCAAGTATGCTATACATCTTTCGACAAGGATGCGTGAGAGTGTTTCAGCAGACACGTCCTTGAGAGTTACTGCTTCAGACCATCGTGTCAAACGGTTGATGCAGGTTAATATATAGGTATATCCATGAGATTCCGGAAGGGGCTCAACCAAATATATATGGACTTGTTCGAATCGAGCATAAGGGATAAGAAAGGTAGAAAGAGGGCTTTTGGTGTCTAAATATCCTGCACTTTTGGCGAGCTAAGCACGTGTGTACCCATTCCCTTACTTCCTTAATAATGCCAGGCCAAAGAAACCAACTAGTTACGAGCTTGACAGTGGTTCTGATACCTGGATGGGATAATCCATGTAACGTATTGAAGGTGTCACGGCGATAACATTTAGGCACGATGCGGCGAGGAGTACTTGTGGAAACGTCGCAAAGAATAGAATCTCTTCACACACTTAGGGGTTTATCGGCTGATTGCAGAGTTTTCTTCGACAACTCATGTTGAAGCTCAGTATCTTCTTTTAGAAGACAAGCCAGTTTCACAAGGTCTTTGCCGTATATTTGGGTAAGGGAACAAAGGAACAAATGCGCGGCGAGGCATTCGCTACAATGTTCTTTACTCCGGTTACATGGCGAATATCCGATATAAACTGTAAAACGTAATCCAGTTGTCGTGATTCCCTAGATGAATACTTATCTGAGTTTGGAGAGTACGTCAGAAGCTTGTAGTCAGTGAAAATTATGAATTCACGACCCTCCACTGAATGTCGAAAATGGCGTATTGCACAGTACATAGCCAGAAGCTCTCTGCCGAATGTGCTGTACTTCGTTTCTGCCTCGAGAAAACGGTGAGTGGTTGCCACTCTCTGTTAACTAGCTATTGTAGAACTGCGCCGATTGCAGTGTCTGATGCATCAACCGAGATACTCAACGGTGTCGTTGGATCCTGATACGTCAGAAGTGTGGCATTCGCAATAGCTTTTTTAATCTGGGTAAAAGCATTTCGAGCAGACACGTCAATTTCTATGGACTTGTTATTCCCTCGAAGAAGGTCTGTCAATGGCTGAATCAAAGAGGCACAGTTGGGAATAAAGCGTCGATAATAGCTAACTAAGCCGTTAAAAGTGCGGAGACTTTTTCACCGTCTGTGGCTCTGGAAAGTTCAGTATAGCCTCGACCTTAGTAGCCAGTGGGCGAATGCCCTTGCAATCAATGGTGTGGCCAAGAAAGTTGAGTGAGTCAACGCCTATTTGACACTTCTGAATATTAATGGTAACACCATGTTGGCGTAACCTTTCAAATGCCAAGTCCAAGTATCTAAGGTGAGCTTCCTTGACTGTACTGGCAATGAGGCAGTCGTCTAAGCATGCGTATACAAAGACGAGATCACAGAATAATTCGTCGTCGAAGCGTTGGAATGTTTGGGCTGCATTCCGGAGACCGAATGGCATACGTAGAAATTCAAGAAGTCCGAAAGACGTATTGATAGCCGTTTTCGAAATATCTTTTGGTGCCATTGGGATTTAGTTATACTCTTTAAACAAGTCTATTTCAGAGAATATAGTTGCGACAGATAATGTTGCCGTCAAGTCGTCTCTGTGAGGCAATAGGTACCAATCAGGGGTTGTTTCGGCGTTCACTCGCCGATAATCACCAGTTGGTCGCCAATCGTTGCTATCTTTTTCGGTACCATGTACAATCTGGATGCCCATGGGCTATTCGATGGCTGAATGATGCCAGGGGCGATCATATGGTCGAACTCATTTCTAGCGAGTCTCAGTTTGTCAGGAGCAAGTCGTCGTGCTTTAGATGTCACGGGCTGTCTTGAGGTTATGATGTGGTGCATAACATTGCTGGTTATGCACGGTAGGTCGTTAGACGGTCAATTAAGTTCCAAATATTTATCAACGATGGGTTGAAAAGTTAGATCAAGGATTGCCTTTATCGTAACGAGTGACAAACTGGGGCCTATGTAGGTGATGCCTTTGATAGACAGACTAGTAGTATTATCAATCAGTCGTTTTCGGCGGACGTCTATGAGTAAGTCATGATGGTTAAGTAGGTCAGTTCCAACGATGGGCATTGTGACGTCAGCGAGAAGGAAAATCTACTGAATAGGTTTGCGTAAACCTACGTTCAGATAGACGTATTTCCTACCAAATATTGCGATTGGTTTTCCATTTGCAGTCTGTAAGTTGAAGGTAGGTTTCTTCTGTCGATCTGCTGCTGTAACAGGAAGGATGCTGACATTGGTGCCTGTGTCGACTAAGTAATGGGTCTGGCTGATGACATCATGGGTGTAAAGTAGGAAAAGCTTATTTGGCTTGCTAAATTTAGCCTACAGGCGATGTTTGAGGGATTTTTCACAGCTCTAATTTTGCCAATATTCTGTCTGTCTGGAAAGTTGTAAGCCAAGACATTATGCGGAGGAATAGTCCTCTCAACAGCTCCTCAAGCCAAATAGTCAATTATGCTCTCGGATTTGGTAACTGATTCTGTACAGATGTTTTGTGATGAGTCACACAGTTGCATGATGGGAATAATGTCGTCAAACTTACTCTGTATGTCCGCTATTGACTTCTGAAGTGTCAGTAAACCATTTTTGCTGCTAGCCGCATTATCTATCAGTTCCTCCATGATATCAGATACCATAACTTTGGGTGTGTCTGGTGTCAAAAGTGTTGAATCTTCAACGGAACTGAGGCCTTCAGACGGTTGACGAATATGAGGCCTCAGTCTCCTAACAGTGCTAACAATTTTGATAGGCTTGACCATTAGAGAAACAAGAATTTTCCCAATTTCCAGACAAAACGTCTTAATGACATGAAAAAGAGATTGTTAATAATAATAATAATAATCACTTTATTCCACAACAATAACAATTTACAGCATGGAATTTTCAGCGTTTCTTTTACATATTGCAATGGTTTAGCTCTGTTATAATTATATAAATATATAAAATGTTAAAATATTGATAGTTAATAGGAAAAAATAATAAAAAAAAATAAAGAAATAAAAATAAATCCCAACAAAATCATACCCTTTCTAGGTCATAGTGAATAATAAATAAATAATAAACAAATAACACATGCATTAATATGCATCATTTCATTTATAATATAGTTATTGATTCAAAAGTTGTAAAAGTTCTTTTCTGATATTTGTCTCTTCGCACAATACTCGTGCCAAATATGGAACGGTATTATTGAAGTATCAAAAACAGTGGCAGACAGCTGTATATTGCAAAATAAAAAGTCAAAATTTCCTTTACCAGCACTGCTTGAGGATAAAATCCTCAGTTCCGCGTGTTTAGGTGGGGTATCAGAAGATTCCGGGTTGTAGATTCCAGCAAGTGAATACTATATATAGTTCCAGGTGACACAATAAAATCCTTCTCAAGTACGGATATGTGGATAATATGGGGAATGTGGCTAATTCGCTTAAATATGAAAAGATGATTGACGCAGAAACAGAAAACCTGTAGCGCAACATTTCGAACCAAAGCTATTACAGTCGAGTAGCGGAACAAACTAGGCAGAAGTTTTACAAAGAACAAGAAACTATACCTCACAAACAAGAAGCGAGAACAAGCAAATCAAATTGGTTTACACTAGATGGCAAAAACGATATTGGATATTGGATTCTGGCGCTTTGATTGGCTTCAGTGTCATTTGTAGGTCAGTGTGGTTTAGTTCGCGTTTGTTTGTTCGATTTCTGTTGTGTGAGTTACGAAGTATTTTCAAATTATCCATCTGAGAATTATTTATGGCAAGTGGTGAAGACCAACATTTAACCTGCATGTAGGGTTTCAATGTTTTCAAGCCTGAGGTAGTTGAAATGTGTTTGACCTAGTCGTATCTCTTCCCTGGACCTATGAAACTATTGTTGACGTTGATTAACCATTTCTGATTTGGAAACTGTGTTTACGTCTTAGTATGGTGGGGATCTATTCTTCCATACACTCATTGTCTAACCTGTAAGTGCCGATGTCAACCTCGATATAAGCTCTTAACGTTAATATCATTTCATAGCTGTAGCTGTTCCTGTAGAAATGTAATATCTTAGTCCGCACTTCTATCCATTGGGATTACATTTAAAAGTCAGTGCCGTGGAAATCAACAAGAATAGGTTTCAACGAATCGATTTGTTCGGTAATAAGTTGTTCTGCGTTCTTCAGATTGGAGACGTTATCATAATATGTTTAAGTCCATAAGAATTTCGCCAACAGTTTTGCGTAATATTTAATCTTCATGGATTGTGTCGTTTCAAACTTGACTGCCCCATAACAAACGCCAGTCATGTATCAATCATATCTAGTGTATTTTTTATTCATATTTAATATTGGTTTATTACTTTTCTAACTCACGTTTAAACTTACTTCTAGCCGGGAATGACTAGTTATAGACATTTATTTATTGTTGGGGTGAAGTTCTAAGGACACTGCCAACATGTATCTTTCTTCTGTGGTGAAGAAGACTGTAGGCCGGATGTTGGTATCATACGTTGCGTTTTATTCCTTGTAATACAAATGTAGAAATAGCTGTATTTTCTGTGTAACTGTTCCTATAGTCTCTATAATATACACCATTTCTCTTGACTATAGAGTGGAGTTAACTAGTAAATCAAATGTGATTATTAATAGTTTTTCTGCTCTCGTAGATATTAGTGGTGGTGGCATTAATTTGTTAAACCTGCCCATTGAAAAGTGTTTAAGAAAAACAGAAAATAAAGTTAACGCGAAGTACGACATATACCAACGCAAGTTCCTATACCAACCAACTTCTTATACCCACAACTGTGGTATTTGTCCTGCGCAGACGAAAGGCAGATTCAAACACGAAATTGATCCTCCAAAATATACAAATATGATTCGGGATCAAAATCGTACTGCAAAGATGAATAATTAACCGGCTGGGAGTCGTGCACTAATGAATGAACGTAACACGACGGCATGCCAGATGGCGTGGGTGCACTTACTGTAAGTCTTCAGCTAAACGGGTCGACTTAAACATTGGAGGTCAGCATTGAGTATTGAGTAACGAATGCTGTAGACTAATAATTTCGGGACTTATTTGTAGTTAAATTGTTAACATTACGAAGATAGCAAAGTGACTTATATGATGTAGGTTAACGCGAGTGATCATGAAAACCTCTTTTGCTGATGCAATTGTGTGTGTGTGCGAAAATTACCTCCCAGTCACTCAACGTATTGGTGTTGAATACCTCGTACAGTAACCACAGAGTCATGGGGACAGTTTGAATTGTCCTGTGGAATTGAAGCCTTACTGAGATCTTATCTATAGCTGTAGGCTACCATAACCTACGTCTGTGCGTACAACTTTCTGCGTCCAGCATTTCTTATGTCCCTTTTACAGAGCAGAAAGGTAGCATAACAGATTGACTGTTCGTCTGGGCATAGCACCTGTGTTAGCCAGTAGTACAACCTCACCCACAGAATGCCTAAACTTGGTGTAAACCACTTATGATACCTTCAGTGTGACCTCTCTTCAGACGACCTTTCTGGCACGTTACGACCTGCAAGGAACATTTGTTCCAGCCAGAGTAGCTTGTGGGCTCATTGAGATATGCAAGTTGGCCCACCACTTGTCACGATAGTAACTATCGGTCGAGAATAAACTGATTAAATCTGTTAAATGCTTTGAACAATTCCAGTAACACATTGTGTACAAGATATCCTGTCAGAAAAGCTTGGCCCACCTGTTTTATCTTGTCAGCAAGTATTTGATAAATGGTGAAACGTTTTGAGGTGCTGATCAAACCGCTGATCAGTCATCACATAACCTATATGATAAAGATGGTCTGGATATGTGCATTACATGTGTTGAATCATTACCTAATCCCAAAGGCTATTTGAGATGGTGACTGGCTGGTTGAGTGAGGCTTCGACGTAGAAATATTAGTCACAGGGTGGCTGTCTGGCGTACCAAGGATGCTACAGTACATCGACGTTTTCAGGTTCTACTATGCGCTAACTCTGTACACGGTCTACGATGAAACTCGTTGTATTAAGAAGCACGAACGGAAACTTGAAAAACGTGAATTGTTAATGAAATCGAATTTTAAAAGGCGCGAGGTAAACGAAAAAAGTGCGTAACCGCGTAAAATGTATGCATGACAAACGAGAAGCAATATACAATAATACAATGATAAATATTCAACAAGCATAGGTAAAATTAGTTTCTGTTAGCGTATAGCATGCGTACATGAATTCGTTTTGAGTGTACATTCAGGCTTAATATAGGGGTGCTACAACAGTACCAGTTCCAATCGCTACATTTTATAAGCCCTCAAAGGTAGAGAAAAAGCAGGACATCTTAGGTATTATAATGAAACGAAATCTATGGAAACAGGGATAAATAGTTGGAGAATAATAACAAAATTAATTCTTCTAGGAGTTCTTAAACTGTGAATGCGACTGCTATCTTGAGCAGTATAACCAGCAGTCTTCAGTTTTTGATCCCCTACGTCTAGAGGACCTTAGCTTGTCAATCTATTCTTTTCTGCTTGTATCTAATTAAAAGTAAAATACTTTATGAATCGCTCCCATGTTTGGATTTGACCAGTCTCAAATCTCCTTTCCTTTACCAGCTAACTTCGCTCGATGAAGGTGGTGGTGATATTATTGAGTTGTTGAGTCATAGAAAGTAATTTACTATGTAACGACAGAAGGTGGTTTAATAAGGTAAGTAATGTTGACGTTAGGCGTAGAGTGTTGGGCAAAGAGGGAAAATCAATCGACGAGGCTATAAAGTTACATAGACTGAGATGGCTAGGTCACGTGCTGCGCATGCCTAACCATCGCCTCCCCCGACGGGCATTGCTAGCTGATATAGGTGCAGGTTGGAAAAGAGCCAGCGGTGGCCAAACAAAAACATGGCATCAATCCATGAAATCCTTGACAGTTAAACTGAGTCAGGTAGGGAGATGCAGACTTCCGGGTTGGGGCCCTCGGGACTCTAGGAATCAATGGCTGGAGACAATAGGTGACATAGCTCAAAATCGTTGTCAATGGCGCAGATGTATTCAGTCTCTGTAATCTTTCATATTCCTTTCTACCATTACCTATTCTATTTCACTCTTATACTTGTGAAACTCTACTGGTTCTCTTCACTCATCTTCTTGTCTACCTCTGTGTGCTATTTGGAACGTGGCTACTCGAACTGCTGCACTTCGGTGCCAAGTTCTATGTTGAATCCAGACAGAACGACAGAAGACAAGGTCCAGGCAACAGAACGATTTTTGAGAAAATCAAGAAATATCTATAGATATTTGTGTACATCATTATTTATTCGTTATTGTTATCAGAGAAGCAACGTCTTCTGATTGGTTGTTTTCTTTCTGTAGGTTATTCTGTACTGCTTGTGACCGTTCCTCAGAAAGTTAATCCATATATCTGTGAATCCTATTTGCGCACATTAAGTCTGTTGCAGTTGGTTGTTGAGTTCCTCAAGGTCCAGCCTTGTTCTTGTTTTTCCTCATGACCCCTATTTGGGGCGTAAACACTGACGCAAATTGTTGTCTACAATTTTGGCTTTCGGACAGCTCTCACCACAACTAGATATGAAGTGTGCAGTGTTTAGCCTGCAGTATTCAAAGAACTGAAAACATTCTGATCAAGATTTGTAGGACAGTGAAAAACCGATAGTTAAAAAATGCAGTTATTACGATTCAAAATCTCATTGGTGCAGATGCACTAATATCGTGTGTTCTTAATCGTATTGTTAATTTTTAAAATATTTAACTGAGTGATTGGCAATATTACTATCTCAGTTTATTTCTTTCTCCTGTCGCCGCCTTACTCTTAAATGTATATTATATTAATATTTTATCCTTTAATTCCTAGAGGAACATAGGGCTTCAGTCACGCGTCTCCATTGCCTTCGGTTTTCTGCCAACTTTTTCACCCTGCTCCAAGTCTGCCCATATGCTTTCATCTCCTCCTCGCATGACCTCCTCCAAGTCACCCTTGGACGACCAACTCGCCGCTTCCCTTTCGGGTTCCACTCGAGCAATGGCTTGTCTAGTGATGTCACTTGATGGTTTGTTTCCTCAGCGTATGGCCAATCCATCTCCATTTCTTCCTGCCTATTTGTTTCACAGTCGGTTCCTGGTTGGTTCGCTCATTGACAGGGATCCCTGTTGCTGATCTTTTCTGGCCATCTGATCTTGAGTATTGAGCGAAGACAACTGTTGATGAAGGTCTGGAGTTTGTTTGAGATGCTCTTTATGACTCGCCAAGTCTCTGATCCGCATAGAAGCACTGATTTTACATTGGAGTTGAAAATCCGGATCTTATTTTTGATGCTGAGTGCTGTTGACTTCCACACAGACTTAAGAGTAATGAAAGTCTGCCTTGCTTTTCCGATTCTGGCTTTGATATCCCCGTCAGTTCCGCCTGTAGTTGAAACGGTACTTCCCATGTAGGTAAAGGAGGTTGTTTCTTTCAGGCTCCTCCTATTTATGCTGATTGTTGTGTGTTGTTGTTGTTGTTGTTGGTGGTGGTGTTGGCCAGGAATCTTCATCACCTCTGTTTTATCTATGTTCACTTGAAGTCCTATCTTTGATGCTTCTTCTACTAACTTGTTGCTTTTCATCACTTGCATATCTTCCAGTTTGTGGGAAATCAGACATATATCATCGGCGAAGTCCAGATCCTCCAAGTTTTTTGTGTGAGTCCATTTTATGCCTGTTTCCTCATTGCCCGTTGTCTGTCGCATTATTCAATCTACTGCAATCAGGAAAATCATTGGTGACAATAGACAGCCTTGTCTCACTCCCGTCCTTACTTTGAAGGCTTCTGTAAGTTTCCCATTGTAGATTACTTGTCATGCATCATTGTCGTATAACTGTTGGATGAGATGTATAATTGTCGATGGCACCCCGTAGTAGCGAAGTAGTTGCCAAATCACCTCCCGATCGACGCTGAGCTGTCGAAGGCCTTTTCAAAGTCGATGAAGTTGAGTGAGGCGACTCCCATTCCAAGCTTTGTTCAATGATGATTCGTAGAGTGGCGATTTGATTAATACATGACTTGTTTCTCCTGAATCCAGCTAGTTCCCGTCGGAGTTTTTCATCTAGGGCTTGTTTGATTCTCTCCAGGATGATGCGGCTTAGCATTTTGCTTGGGATGGACAGGAGCATAATTCCGCGCCAGTTTTTACATTGACTTAAGTCTCCTTTCTCTGGTAGTTTGAATAAGTATCCGTCCTTCCAATCCTCAGGTACTTTGCCCTCTTTCCACACCTTCTCCAGTAGTGGCGTCATCAAGTCCGCTGTTGTCTCTGCGTCTATTTTCAAAGCTTCTGCTGGGATTCCATCTGGTCCCGGTGTTTTTCCAGTTTTTAGCATCTTGATTGCATTCAGGGCCTCTGATTTCGTCGGGGGGTTAGTGTTCACTGGTAGTTCTGCTTCCGTTGTTGGTATTGTTGGGCGCGTTGTAGGTGGCGGTCTATTTAGAAGTCTTTTGAAGTGTTCAGCCCAGTGCTTTCTTTGTTCCACCTCTTTGGTGATTGACTTTCCATAGTCATCCTTTACTGGCTTAATCTGTGTCGAACTTTTTCCCGATAGGTGCCTAGTTGTTTGGTAGAGTGTGGCGAGGTCTCTTTGCCTTCAGCTTGTTCTGCTTCGTTTGCCATGGCTTTATAATATTTTCTTCTGTCTTCCCTGGCACTCTTCTTCACTCTTTTGTTCAGTGTATTGTAATTTGCATTCAACTCTTGTTTTTGTTGCTCGTCGGTGCACTGAATAATCTTTTGTTTCACTATCCTTCTCTCCTCTATTAGTTTCCAAGTGTCCACAGTGAGACACTGTTTGTCCTGCCTCTTCTTTCTGCCCAGAACCTCCATGCAAGTTTGACTCCACACCGTTTTCAAGTTGTCCCAGTGCTTTTCGATGCCAACCTCTTCGCTGATGTTGATTTGTGTCTCGACTTTGTCCTTTATGCTTGCAATGAAGATGTCCTTTGTAGCCTGGTCCTTCAGTTTTGAGTGTTGAACTTGGCTTGTGGTCTGTCTGCAGCTCCTCCTTCTCTGAAAGCTTTTAGTTTGATTTGGATTGTCCCTTGTACGAGATAATGGTGTGAGCCAACGTCTGCTCCTCTTCTTACTTTTGTGTCCAGTAGGCTGCGCCTCCACTTCATTGAGATTGAGATGAAGTCAATTTGTATTATGTATTGATCCTTAATTCATTAGTTTAGTCATTGTCTACTGATGGACAGGTATCATAGTATTAGTTTATAATAATTACTGTTGTTCATTCCTTGAGTTCCTGGTGAACCGTATGATTTCATAGCTACATCCCTACTCCACTGATTTCTCATATGAGAAGTCCACTATCGATTCTGGCTTTTGTTGTCATACAATTGTCCCTTCACCAAATGTCCAGTTGATTTACACCTTCTTCTGTATATTTGATGGTTAGGTGACAAGATTTCACCATGAGCTGACATCGATCAGAGAGCCGTTGGAAACCCTGAGAGTTCTGGACAGCTGTTTCGTCCTATATCAGAACTCTTCAGTGGCGCGCGCCCACTTGGGTTCAAACCCAGGACCTTCCGACTACAAGCGGAGCTAGTAGACCATTAAGTCACTGGAACCCGATCGAACGGTCAGCCAATGAATTCCAACTTCTGCCAATTCACGATGTAGCGCAACTGACACTAGTCAATTTCACCGCTGGCGAGTATTTGTCCTCACACCCGACCTGATGTACTCCACTAGTCTTTATGTGTGTATGTACGTCTTAGCGTCCTTACGGGTTGACTTCAGCGAAATTAAACTTTTCACATCCTACAGACGTCAATACCACACCGCTAATTTTGGAAAGCTCACAATCCAAACAAGGGTAAATAGAACTGTACTCATGACTGAAAAGATATTGAGTGAAGTGTAATGATACTCTTCAGGATAACTGGTTACTTGTATGCTAAATTATTGAAATAATAAGGTTAGGCTTTGGTTTAAAACAGCTTAAGGTTAATTGGATGTAATTAGAACAAATATTGCGGTTGGTTAGGCAGAGATTGGGGTTAACTTAAACAAAGACTATGGTTAGGGATTCAAATTCGTCTGTTTTACAGCACAGTTGTTCGTTCTCCGCCTCTTAAGTGCATAAAAGTTGGACTTTGCCTTGACTCAGTAATTTCTCTTCTATGTCTGTTCTTGTATTCTTCAAGGTGCTCTTTTTACACCATGTTGACGTTAATCTATAAGGAATATCAGAATGTAAAATCGCAAAGGAAAGCTCAATTAGAAAGTAAGAAGCAAGTCATGCTGACATCAATCAACCAAGTTTCAAATGAATTATTGGCTAAAATTGATGAAAATGTTTCAAAGGTAATGAAAGTGTTTGTTTTTACTTTAACACTTCATTATCCTATGAGTCAGAAAACAACTGAGATTGCTGAACAAAGGCTAATCTTTTCGATAATTTCATTTTCCCCTTCGTCGGGTTCTGCAGTTATCTATCTATAATAATTGAAGAAATGTTGTTACTAACGATATTGATGTTCTACCTAAATAGACTCGATTGAACCATTAAGTGAAGTTAGATTACAGTTCAAAAGTATCTCTGAGTAATGGTATCAGATGAGTTTCAGTAAACTAAGACAGACTTTTTTGAATTTACAGTTTTCCACTTCAGGCCAAAGTGTCAATAATGGCTCGACCTATTACTTTCACACACAGAATTCTGGCTATTTTAGGCGAGTTGCTTTTGCCTCTGTTTTTCCGCATATTCGGCAACTGGAAGGTTTCGGAAATTTGTTTGGTACCCGATAGGTGGTAGAAAAGATTCTCCAATGCTGGCTTTTTGGCCTA